TTGGGTATGTGTAGTGTAGAACTGCATATTAAATAGGAGACTGTCTTCTTCCCACTGGACTTTGAGCATCTTAAGAACAGATATTAACATATACAGCACCAGCACCTCCTACCTATATCCAGAAGCTTTCCACAATAATAAGCATTTGTTCATTCAGTTCTAGTGGGAAAAATTATCTTCTCAGGTCCTTCAACTACAAATTCAATTCAATTCTGCAAGCACTTGAGTACCAGCAACACACAGAAAAGGGAAGTCCCTGTAAAGAACAGAGAGAGGGGATGGGAGGGACAAGATATGGGTAGACAACAAGAGCGAACACATAAGTGTGTGCTGTAGGGCAGACCAGCACCTGTCAGGAGTCCTGATGGTAAGAGAAGCTGGAAAGCAGTTTAAGAACAAAGCAGCCATTATCAATTCTGCAATAGCAAAGGTGTAAGATAATTCACTGTATCCCCAATCTATTACTCAGGAAGTCTACCGGATTTAAAAGAAAAAAATCAAGGAAAGCCTTCAAGATTTATCCTGGCTCCACTCACACTACCCATTTTAGGGTCCCATCCTACTTCTTATACCGCAAAGCCAAAACTGTTCTCAGAACAAATCTTACTAGATCCAAAGTTTCCATGACAATCTCGGAGCAGAAAGTGGAATCGTTTTCTTTCATACACAAACCCTGATTATCTTTAACATCCTTTAGGTTCCCAAAATGTGCTATTTGGAAGAGTTACACAGTACAGTCTTGAAGTCTATATATGCAGCATCTGGAGCTAACAGTAAATAACATAGTTTGAATTAACTTCTTAAGTTAATTCCTACTTTTGTTTCCTCAAAGAATCAATAGGGAGGGGGTGCCCTATGAGGAGTCTGCAAATTCATAGACATCAAATTCATAGACATAGCATTATCTGTAGGTCAAGTTAAGTTGAAAGTATTACTATCATGTAGAAGTTTGCAAAACAGTAGACTAGGAAACAACAGTTCTATACTAGAACTTCTTCAGATTTTTAAAAATCACCAGCAAGTTTTCACATCTCCAACAGTACACAGACTGTTCACAACAAAAATCAGAGAAAAATCCGTTTAGTTTTCCTAGACTGAATGACCATGGGCTGGTTAATTACTTAACTTCTTTGAGCCTCCCATCTCAAATTTAAGATTGTGGGCTTGAGACTAGATGCCCTCAGAGGAAAAACTGACTTAATTAACAAAGATAATTACTTACAGATTGACTTCAACAAGACTTCTGGTTCAATCCTAATTCACCCATAAACAAGAAAAATACAAAACTATGGTAGTTACTAAAATATGTCATAAATTCTCTGATACTCCACCCTTCAAGACATGGAGCTTAATTCCTATGCCCTTGGCTACAGGCTGGACTTAAGTGACTTTCTTTTAACTAACAGCATGTGGCAGTGGTGTGGCTTCCTCCTTGCTCTAGCTTGGATCATTTGCCCTCAGGGAAACAAACTACCACCATGTTGTGAGGACACTCAAGCAGTCTGTTGGAGAGCTGAGACCAGCAGACTACCAGCATTAACCTGCCAGAGTGTGAGCCACCTGGAAAGCAAATCCTCTAAGCCCAGTCAACATCTTGACTGTAACCTCCTTAAAGACCCTGACCCAAAACCACCAAGCTAAACGAGTCCAGATTCCTGACCCAAGATAAGCAAATGTTTATTATTTTAAGCCATGAAGTGTTGGGGTAATTTGTAATAGCAAGAAAAGTAATCTGCCAGTGTTTTTCAAAAAGCGGACCTTGATTCATTTGTGACTGATGAAATCAATTTAAACCACCACAATCAGGCTTAAGTTAGAAAAAAAAAAATTATACAACTCAAAATAACAAGTACTATTTCCTAAAAACTGTTAAATCTTACATACTGTGTAAACCAGGTAGCATTTAATACACGTTTATCTTAGAATTATAACCCAAAAAGTATGAAACCCAAAAGCCAACACCAATAGGATTAAAACAAAGTTTCCTAAAGTATAAGGAATCCTTCAGGGAATATGGACTGAGCAATAACGAACTATAAAATAAACATTTCCTATATACTTTATAACCAAACCAATGAAATATAAGACACTCTCAAAAATACATCTTTTCTGACTTACATTTTAAACTTCATGTAAAACACAAAAGACGTGGTAGACTTAAACATGTAAAAACTTGTCATTTTCCTAATTTAAGAGGTCAGCCAGGAGAACATCCTTATAAAATTATGTACTGAAAAAGCTGCTCTGGGATCTAACCACATCTATTATTTCCTCTACTACTTTTACTATCAGTGTTAAAGGAAATTCCATCTTCCACTTCAGCCCACATGCACAACAAATTTTTGCCCAAAAAAAAAAGGTAAGTACAGTACTTCTAAATAGCTTTCTGCCCAATGTCCAAGTCTCACGGAAATTATCCACTTCAGAACACAAGCAAGTGCATACTTTTCTTATTTCAGCACAATATGCATCAAAACTTTCATCAGCACATGATTGTAGAATATTTATGCATAATTCAACTTTTGATGAATCCACTTAGATTATTTGCTTACACTGTGATTTTCTTTTAAGTAAATGTGTGAAACTATTTTTGAACTCCTAATTTACCAAATTCATTTTCAAAATACCAAAATAAACCAGTGCATAAGCCCTAAACAGATGATTTAACTTCTTGTTTTTCTCATTACTGAACTCACGGCATTTGTGGCTCTCCCACAACCAGGCTGACAGCTTTCCTTGTCCCAATCCTAGATACACTACTAGTTCTTCTTTGCAATGACTATTTTCTCCCCAGCCTTTGCATCTGTATCCACCTAAGTATTTCCACTTCAGCAAATTGTAGAACGCACATAGAACTGGTATAGAATTCCTTATAATGCTATTATTTTGTGATGGTGACTAAAAATCAAAATAATTTGCATACTTGGCAAAATTCAAGTATGCATGCCTAAGTCTTGAGAAAACTGGCAGCAAAGCAGCCCTGTTCTCAAGAGCAGCAGCTCCTGAAGACAAGACCAGGATGCTCCTGGTAGCACCTTCTCTAGGAATGAGATCCAAGTTTCAGGAATAACCCTGGTTCATTTCTGTACAACTACCTAAGAGTACTGGGAAACTATTCACTGGTCTTAAGAATAAGCAGTTACTTTGAGACTTGAGGCCAATACTCTAGACACAATGGCTAAAACTAACCCAAAACTTTAACATCAGTTTTGCCCACTTTTTAGTTTCCCTCAAGTCAGTTCCCTCTCCATGTAAGCAGTCCATCAGACCATAAACTTGAAAGTTCACAGTCAAGGTATGAAAGAATTAAGAACCCAAAGATCGCTAACTACGTCTACCAATCAGAGTCAATTTAGCTTCCCAGTAAGATGAAACAGACTTCAACTGCAGAGCCAATCCAAGGAACCTGGCATGCCTGTCTGAAGGCCAACTTTGATGTGTTAGTTATAGCACACTAGAAATACTTCTATGAGGGTCAGAATTTAGTTTTACAGGTAGACATTTAACCACTCAAGTCATTTATCTAGCTGATCAAAGAATAAGAAAGTTCAAGGCACGTATGTATGAAATCTATTATTCAGTTTTGGACAACTAAAGTTACACAGCTGCTTATTTTGTCTTCGAAGAAGGAATTAGTAATCAGTAGCCCTGGGTAAAACTAGATAACTAAATCAAACTCACATCTTTAGGAGGGGACACTTATGTACGTCAAATTAACTGTCTTAAGTTATTAATCTTGCCTTAAATATTTTGGGAAATATGTGCCAGAGCTCTGTGCTAAAGTCTGGCCCTGTAAACCAAAATGAGTTCAACATCAAACTAAGAAACTTATACCTAAATTGCTTAAAACCAAAGAGAATCCTGGAACCTGCTACTTCCATTTCCTTAAAAATCAAGCCATATTCTTTTTAAGTCTCCAAAATCCTAGATTATGTAAAATACAGAAATCATTAAACCCAGTTCTCAAAAAATTAAGTTGTACTTGCAAAGATATAAAATTCTAGCAAAATGGAAACAACACAAAAATAAACTTTCAAATGTTAATAATGACCACCAGAGACTCCAAGTCCCCTCGTCATGGAACCTGTTTCTGGACTTCCAAATTTAACAGAATGGCCAACTCTAAATCCAATCTAACAGTCCCTCAGAGACCAAAACTTAACAGGAAAGTAAATTGTGCTTAAGTAACAAACTTGCTTTGCAAACTGATTTCTTCCTGGACCAATGCCTCATAAACTAAACCACAATTACTGAAATAAGCATCAAGTTCAATACTAACAAACGTCCGTCATCACACTCAACTAGTCTATAAGGAAGAACTTGTACCTCTATACACAGCACAAACTGACATATCTACTTCGGAATGACTTTTCCAATTCCACTGATGACAGAAAGGTATTAGTGATTTACAAGTTTCTCCTTGGCTCTCAAGTCCACTCATTTCAAGTCTTAAGATGAAAACTTAAAGACACACGGGAAATAAAGGGACAAAGATAATGGCCAAGAGATGTCAAGCAGAAGCTTGCAGACGGATCCGAGCGGTTCTGCATCCCTTCCCGGAGCATCTCCAGGATTGTCCTACCTAAACACTTTATGTAAACATGGGGCTTGTGACTCAAGCCTCCAGCCCCAATAGGTGGAGAGAAGTTTCCTCGCCTCGGCTGCACATGGTTTGCAGAAGTTTGGCTGGAGCAGAGCGGAGCCTGGGTGGGAGCGGCAGTGTAGTTAGTGCTGCAGGCGGCGGCGGCGGCGGCAGAGCAGCAGGAGGCGGAGGCGGGCGGGGGGAGGGGAGGCGGCTGGGGGGGCGGAGGGGGCTCTTGCCGCCACTGCTCTCTCGCCGCCTCTCCCCCCCGGCGGGAGCCGCTCTCAGCCTCTTTGCACTAGTCGCTCCGCTCTCTCGGTCATGTGACCTTAACGTAACCGGACAGGAAAAGCCCCGCCGCCGCCGCCGCCGCCGCGCCGGAGACACCGACCGCGGCGGCAGCAGCAGCAGCAGCAGCAGCGAGAGGCAGAGGCGGCGGCGGCGGGGAGAGCACGGCCAAGGCTGCCCAGCGGTGCCTCCTCCACACCCCCCGCCGCAGCAGCACCGACGACAGGTAAGCGCGCAACGCCTCCACCTCCCGGGGCCGGTGCCCACGTGCCGCCCCCGACCCGGGCTCCGGGAAGGCGGAGGGGGGGCGGGGGCCACCGGAGCTCGCAAACGGTTCCGGCACCAACGGTGGCAACAAAGAAGACGAATGACCCCCGTCCCGGGGCTCCGGGTGAAGGCAGGCGGAGGGCCCGGACCACACGGGGACCCAGTTCTGGGAAGCGAGGGCAGGGGCGCCCCGCGGGGGCGGTGGCGGCTGCGCCTGGCGCCGGGGCTCTGGCCGCCTGACAAAACCATCCCCCGGAGCCAGGCGGCGGCGAGTCGGCGGCGGCTCCATCCGGGGCTTTGCGGGAGGGGGAGGGGACGGAAGCCGAGAGGGCGGGCGGCGGATCGGAGGGAGGGAGGGAGGAAGGGGAGGGGGGCGATTCGCGTTCCGTTCCCCGTTGCCGGTCCCTCCCTTCTCGCCGCCACCGCGAAGTGCGTCCCGAGCGGCGGCGGCCGGTGAGCGTCCCGCGCTGGAGCCCTGAGAGGCGGGCCCGTCAGGTGCGTAATCCTTCCGACGCCTCGCCGCCGCCTCCTGCTGCTGCCGCTGCTGCTTCTTCGGCGGCAAGGCCGCGAGCTGCGGAAGTGGGTTTGGGGGAGGGGAGCGGAGAGGGAGGGGGAGGGGAGGGATCCGGTCCGACCGGAGCAGGCCCGGCCTCTCTGGCGCTTCTCCCAGCTGCAGCGGCTCCTACAGCTGCTGCCGCTACTGCTGCGGCTCCGCCTCCCCGCTCGCGGGCGGGGGCGCGCACGCGCGCTTCCGGCCTCCTCGGGTCTCGCGCTGTCTTCGGCTCTCGCGCGCGCTCTTCCCCTCGCCCTGTCTGACCACCCCCCCCCCGCCCCCGGCGCCGGAGCTGTTGCGCCAGCCGGGGCGTTGCGCACGGCGTAGGCGTCGGCATTGTGTTAAACTCCGCGGGACTTGGGGCGAGCGCGCGCGCGCACGCGGGACTGAGGGAAGCGGAGAGCGTGCAGCGCGGCCGGAGTGCGTCGCCCCTCCCTTCCCCTCCCCTCCTCCCAGCCCCTCGGGGATGGGGGCGGGGCCGAGGTGCGCGGCGCCGGGGCCCGTCGGGCCCCCGCCGGTCTGGCCGGCCCCGCCCTCGGCCGGGCCCCCGCCCCCCGGGACGGGGCGGGGCGAGGCAGGACTGGGCGGCCGTTGGGCCGCTCGCCTGCGGTCCGGGCAGATGTAGGCCTCTCTGGGCGCCGCCCGGGTGGAGCGCTGCGGCCCGGGCCGCGGGTGTGGGCACGCTGGGCCGGCAGCCTCCGGCTTCCGCTCCGTTGCTGATGTGCGCCTCGGCTGAGGCCGAGGTTAGCTCGGCGCTGCGCTGTGGTTTCTGGCTGCTTTGCCTTGGGGCGTGGGTCGGCGTCGGTGCTGCGCCCCGAGCCCGCGCGGCCCTCCCACCCCGGAGGGCTCCGAGAAGGGGAGGCTGGGGGCTCGGAGGCTGTTTCCAGGGCCAGAGACGTTTTTCCGGTGTAACAGAAGCCCCAAACCGATGATTTTTAAACAGGCTGCAAAGATAATGCAAAGATACAGAGGTGCTTAGGAAGCAAGGACCTTTTCTGGTAGTGAAAGGGGGGCGATAAAGCAAGGGTAGCTGAGCAGGCAAAAAAGTGGGCAGGGTGAAAATGCAGATTGTTAATGCTAGGCCATTTACTGCAAGAACTTGCAACTGCCCAACTAATGATGCCTTAGGGAATTAACCCCCCTCCACTGGCTGCAGTGTTATTTGCTCTCCATCAAATACAATGGGCCCACTTAGTGTATAAGTCTCAATTCTATTCATTTTAATAGGTTATTGTTTCAGTAAAATAAAGCATAAAAAAAGGTCAGAATTACGGGCTCATACAGAATTTAGGGGTGCTCAGAGTTCCCTTAAATGGGCTGCCCTGTCCTTTTTTAGGACAGACCTCCACGTAGACCCGGAGGGAACCCTGCACTAGCATTTTAGTTGGAGAGGCCTGAAACTTTAAAAGAAAATCAGAACTAAGACCTCATAAATGCTCATTTCTGTGATTAATTACAAACCGACATTAACTGTTAAAAAAGTAGATTTCATTTTGCATTCTAAATAACCTTGGTGTATATCCAGGGTGTTTTCAAACTGTTAAAATGTAATTATTAAGAAAAAGTTCCATATTCCTTTAAGCTGGGCATTTCTCACTTAATAAATTGGTGGTTTATAGAAGTTTATTTTCTAGCCAAAGAATTGACCTCTTATTGAGACCGTGGTAAGATCCCAAAGCACAGTTTATACCAGGGGTAGTAAGTACCACCAATAGTAGTGAAGGAATCCTTTGAAGGGTGGCAAATAAATCACCCTTGCAGCTTTGTTGTAGTGTATAGTCCAACCACTTGCCAGTTTTAAAGCTTCTCTCGAAGAGGATGTAAGTAAATGGTGCTCTGCTGACTTCCACTGAAATACTCCAGCAGCACAGTAAACAGGGACACCTTTTAGGCCACAGAATAAAAGCTGCCACGACGACATTTTCTTCTCTATCATAATGATTAATAGGAACTTTGCATTGTCCCCAAAGATCTCCTCTTTTGTAATACAAAAATTATATAAAATATAAAATTGTATTCACCTTAATCCTCTAAGATAGATGCTCTTTGTGAACACTTCATGTCCTGTGTACGCGGATACGCATTCCCAGCTTGAGAAGCCCTGACGTGGAGGTAGAAACTGAAGGAAGCCTTCAAGGCTCATAAGTGGCATTGATGTGGGAACAGCTTTGGAGCTAGGAGACTTTTCTGCCCTCTCTTCTTAACTGTCCTGGTGCTTGATCCCTAGTCCCACTGACTTTTCCCTGAAGTTAAAGTTGAAACGTTGAGCAAGTGGTGTGGTTCCAGCCTGTCACGGTGAAAGAAGAGCTTGCTGGTCTGCTGGAGACTGCCATACATTTCAGAATGCACACAGCAGAAATGGGAATTTATCACTTTTCCTACCTCCTTGCAGTTGCAAAGCAGGACTCTAAAAACCCAAACCAAACCCAAATTGAGAATTTTTATTTTCCTGAAGAAAAAAAAAATTGTAAACATTCTAAGCATCAGAGATAACATTTTCTAGGCTTTATTTTTGCCCAAGTATATGAGTTACAATTTTGTTACCAAGTTAAACTTAAATAATTAAAATACTACTGTGAGTCAATAGTAAATAAGAGTGTTTTACAATGCTAATATGCCATTAAGAGATGGAATCAGTAGCCACAGAATACGTAAAGTTGGCAGTCCAAAACAGTTTAGGACCATTTTTTTCCTACGTTATAAGGCCAAGTTAGAGGCTGTATTTATGCTCAAACCCATAATTCCCAGCTCGCATGAATGAGGTACGCATCCTAAGACTTTCTCACTTCAAGAAAGCTCAGTGTGCAAAGATAGGAATTTATAAAGCATGTTTAGGTATCTAAGTACTTGTAAAACTGCCCTTTTTACTTTGCAAGAGGTTCAGTTCCTTTAAATTGTGTACCCGCCTAAGTTATGCATCAAGCAAGGAAGAACTTTCAGAGTCATCTGAGAAAGGTTTCAATGTGTGGTTGTGTTCCACATCACACCGGTCTTCTTAGATTCTCTGAGCCTCATAGTGCTTCTGAGCAGGGGTTGGGGTTGTCTGAGTGTGGTCTGCACACTCTTCTCAATCTCCAGGACCCCCTCAGGGTTCCATAAAGTCAAAGTAATTAAAAAAAAAAGTCAAAACAATTTTATAATAATGGTAAGTTGTTGTTGGACTTTTTAGCTGGTGACAAAATGTGTCAACGTTGGAAAGATCCACTGCATAACTCACCGAGCTGACATTTTCCAGTGACCCATGGGGGATGTTCACAAAAACCATGCATGGGTAAAAGATCCGTTCAAAGTGCCAGCTAGAGCAATGAATTTTACTGTAAGAGAGTAGGAAAATTTTCATTCGTTATGTATTTTTAGATCAAACTGCTAACCTTCAAGAAACTACGACTTATCAGGTTTTGGTGTAGTATCAAAGAAAAATATCCACAATTTCCTGGAAAAGCTATTAATACATTTCTTTTGCCAACTACATCTGTGGGTGAGGTTGGATTTTCTTGAGTACTCAACCAAAACAGTTATCACAACAAACTAAATGGAGAAATAGAGTAAATGCAGAATCCCATTGTCTTCTGTTAAAGAAATTTCTAAAAATAGCAAATTAGATTAGGTTTTTAAATTTTGCTATGTGATCATATGTAGGTTTCCTTAAAGTTGATTATAGCATAATGCCGTTAGAATTCTCACTTTAATATCAACTCCATTAGCCATAAACCTCTGACTTGGTTCTCCTTGACACAAACTGTCCGGGAACTGCCTCCTTCTCACCTTCACTTAGAAATTAAAAACTAATTCCAAAGTTAACGTCAGCAAACTGTAATTGAAAAGACAATCTCTTACAAATCTCGTGGTTTTCAAAGTCAAAATACGTGCTATTGATTAGTTTATGTCCCACCTTTTTCTAATTAGAATGGAAGAGGATTGACTAGTGTTATGAACAATGCATCAAATTGTCACCACAACTGATTAAGACACATTTCATAGCTTTGAGATACAGTTTAAAAACATTAAAATTCAAATGGCCAGCCTCATTCAGGTTTACTTTATAGGCCCTAAATATTAATTATTAATAATACTAATTGAAAAAGCAGTTTTTTTCATCCTGGTAAGTGGTCTGAGCTACTTGAAAGAATCAATCTTACTTTTGGGTAGTGCTTTTTCTGTTACTGATGTGTCCTGTGCATTACAGTGTTCATTTATGCTTCACTTAAATAAAATTAAGGACTTTAGAGAACCCTTTTAGTGCCCTCCAAATGGGTAGTCTAAGTGGTATTTAGTATCTTAGGAGAGCTATTATCTTTAAAAAGTGAGTCATCAATTCCCAAAAGCTGTTTTGGTCTCCTCTTCTTATACTGACAATGTAGGAGGAAATTGGGTTGTCAAAATATACTATGGTGATATTGTCCCAT